GAAGCATAAAATCATATTGAAAAAGTTAAGAGGTAAGCAACAATATTGGTGCCAGAGGTAAGAGGGTTAAGCTATGAGAATAAGGTAGCTAGGCTAATGGAACTAAATCTCACAACCATAGAGGATAGAAAAAAACAAAGGGGATATAATCACAGAATACAAGATACTGATCGAAATAGTGGACAAGGATAGCCTCTGCAATTTTTTTTTTTTTTTTTTTTGAGATATATACAAGATTTGTTACATTCTTGTGTAGCCACTAGTACGCGTAGCGTTTTGGGCAAGTCCTTAATCCTATGGTCCCTGGAATACGATCCCCTGCCGCGAAGAATCGTTTTTTCATCCAAGTACACATTTTACTGTTGCGTTAAACAGAGGCTACAGTTAAGGAATTGCGCCCAGTAAATCCTCCCCGGCCAGGATACGAACCCTTGACAATTGAACGAAGTAGGACAAGGGGACACAGGTGGAAACTGGAAACGCAAATACCTCGAAGGAATGGAAGGAAATGCTCGTACCCTGTACGGGGGGGGGGCAACAAGTAGAATGAACTAAAAGAAGTTGTGGAAGCCACCTCCATCCACAACTTCTGCAGCTGGGCAGATTCGGCAAAGAATTTGAACGTCAGAATAGTTCACTTGTTTGAGATCATTTCGGGGCAAGTCCCTGCGTCCCTGCGGTCCGGTCCTCGACCAGGCCTCCTTTTTGTTACACACCCCGCCGGGAAGCAGCCCGTAGCAGCTATCTAACTCCCAGGTACCTATTTACTGCTAGGTAACAGGGGCATCAGGATGAAAGAAACATTTTGCCCATTTGTCTCTGCCTCCACCGGGGATCGAACCCGGAACCTCAGGACTACGAATCCGAAGCGCTGTTAACTCAGCTGTGAGGCACCCCTTCCATACAAGGAAGGATCGACAGGTTTTCTCTCTCTCCAACAATGGTATACCAGTATATCGCTTGTCCTTAAATGACACTGATATATCACCAGTCCTGGACGTAAAGGGGATGGCCTCTACATATTGGCAGCTTCACCATACCTTGAATACCGCTAGTTCTTGTAACCTTAAGAACTGGCTGGTATATATCGCCAGATATTGACATGAACGTTTCTGTGTACAGTCGGGTTTGTTCTCGAATCATAATCAGGAATCCCGGGCGGCACAGAAATGGTTGTGCGCATTTCCTATCACCTAATGCAACTGTTCACCTTGCAGTAAATAGGTACCGAGGAGTTGGTCAGCTTGTTGTGGGGTTGCACTCTGGGGAGGGTCAGTAGTTCCACCCTGACGGGGAGGGGGGGGGTACCTTAATACAAGCCTAGCATGTATATATACACTGGCTGCCTGTCCCCGGACTATTAATTATTGTGAATTATTATAATCACTTCAACGAAGCGCATTGGTTAAGGTCTGACCTTCCGGTATTGATGAAGGGGCCGACCTTCCATAGTGACCTTGGACCACCGCTGGCGTTTACCCGGCGCCGCATCACACTTACCAAGTAATTCGAAACAAAAATCCTCTCAAAAAATGTCATTAGGTAATTACAGCTGCAGACAACGCACAGTTTATTATATATATAAAAACCTATATTTTGTTGATGCTTAATAAACACCATGTGTATAATAAAATACTTTTTTATTCTACACTTTTTTATGTTAGTCCTTTTTTAACGCAGTGAATTAATTAATGAAACAATTAATTAATTAATGACTCAGGACACAGGCTCTGTAAGAGCCTGTGTCCTGAGCACTCTCCTATATGTCAGTGAGTCTTGGACACTCCGCGCCCGTCAGGAAAGACAGCTGAATGCCTACCACACGCGCTGCCTCCGACACATCTTGGACATCACCTGGCAGGACAAGGTGACAAACAACAACGTCTTGGGGAGAGCAAGAATCACCAGCATGTACACAATGATGAAGCAGAGACGAATGCGCTGGCTCGGGCACGTTGTGCGAGTGGGCGACGGCAGGATCCCCAAGGATCTCCTGTACGGAGAGCTGAGGCAGGGAAAGCGTCCAACAGGCAAACCCCAGCTACGGTACAAGGACGTATGCAAGAGGGACCTGAAAGCCATGGACGTCCATCTTGCTATATGGGAGACACTGGCTGCAGACCGTTCAGCCTGGAGGCAGTCTGTTCAAAGAGGTCTCTTCAAGTTCCAGGAGTCACTTGCCAAGAAATCGGAGGCAAAGAGACAGAGAAGGAAAGCCGGTAGCCAGGAAGACAGACCAGAATCGGACTTCCTTTGTGCTCAGTGTTCAGCTTCGATTTGCCTAATAAGACAAGTTTTTCTGAATTTATATATTTTTCCAAATTTTTTCTTATGAAATGATAGACCAATCTATTTAATTATGCATAAGTTCATTTTATTTAATTTGAGTTAAAACTAACGTAGATATATGACCGAACCTAACCTACCTAACCTAACCTAACCTATCTTAACCTTGCCTAAACCAATATAACTAAGTCAATAATTTATGTTCCTAGTATAATATAATAATAATAATTCAAATAAACCAATTGGAAACATTTTATGGAAAATAAAGAAAATCACTCTGCCTATTAGGCAAATCGGGCCTTGCATAGTAGGCCGAGAAGTGCGTTGTGGCTACTAGGTACGACATACTCACACCCCAGAAGTGACTCGAACCCATACTGCTAGGAGCACTCTGCTAGCGTACAGGATCCCTTAATCGCTCGACCAACACGACCGGACAAAAGAGGATGGAAGTCGAGGCTATTTCCATCCCCCCCGCTGGCACTCGGTTGGTAATCTTGGGCATGGGCATAGGGAGCCGGTCGGCCGAGCGGACAGCACGCTGGATTTGTGATCCTGTGGTCCTGGGTTCGATCCCAGGCGCCGGCGAGAAACAATGGGCAGAGTTTCTTTCACCCTATGCCCCTGTTACCTAGCAGTAAAATAGGTACCTGGGTGTTAGTCAGCTGTCACGGGCTGCTTCCTGGGGGTGGAGGCCTGGTCGAGGACCGGGCCGCGGGGACACTAAAGCCCCGAAATCATCTCAAAATAACCTCAAGATGGTATTTTATCAAATCACCTCATTCTTTGGTGATTTGATAAAATACCATGCCCAAGATTACCAACCGAGTGCCGGCGGGGGGATGGAAATAGCCTCGGCTACCATCCTCTTTTGTCCGGTCGTGTTGGTCGAGCAATTAAGGGATCCTGTACGCTAGCAGAGTGCTTCTGGCAGTATGGGTTCGAGTCACTTCTGGGGTGAGTTTTCAGTTGCATATAGTCCTGAGGACCATTCAGGCTTGTTCGCATATATATATATATATATATATATATATATATATATATATATATATATATATATATATATATATGTGTGTATATATATATATATATATATATATATATATATATATATATATATATATATATATATATATATATATATATATATATATATATATATATATATATATATATATATATATATATATGTGTGTGTGTATTCTCTGGTGATGGTCTGGTTGTGTGAGGAGATTATATGCTCCTTCGTGGTGCCCTGTTGCATGTGTATTGTTAATCGCCTAGAGAGAGAGATAGACGTTGTTGTCTTGCCTATATGCTGAGATCCTTGGGGCTGACAGTCCCCAAGTGGGCATGTGAAGGCATAAACGACGTTGGTCTATTTAAGGCGTTCTGTTTGGCGTCTGGAGAGTTCTTCATGAGTAGGTTGGCGGTCTTCTTGTTTTTTGTAGTAAATTGTTAATTGTATCTTCTGATTTGTGTCTGTGGGGATAACTTTCCTATCAATAATAACTTTCAGAACTCTTTCCTCCGTTTTATGAGCCGTGGAAAAGAAGTTTCTGTAAAATAATCTAATAGGGGGTACAGGTGTTGTGTTGGTTGATTCTTTAGAGGGTTGCATAGCATGTCACCTTTCTTTAATGACGTCTTCATCATAACCGTTAGAGAAGTCATTATTGACTAGGACTTGCCTTACTTTACATATATTATATATATATACACAGAAAATCCACAGAAAAATGGGAAAGAGAGATTTCGGCCGATCTGGGCCTTTGTCAACACCTGACTGTCAGGTGTTGACATATATATATATATATATATATATATATATATATATATATATATATATATGTAAACGCCACTGTCCACGACATATTAATGTTTCATTTGCTCGTTTACTTGATATAAATGATCTCTGTATTTACCAATTTTAATTTCATGTGTATTCTAATTGCTTCTCATGAAGACTTTCGGTCACCCTGCCCTTGCTATATATTTGGTCCACTACCAAGGGGTTGAGGGAGGTGCAGTACCTGGCGACCCAGCTATTATTATACAGATGAAAAAGATCGTTGTAACATCCTGTGGAAGATGATAGCTGAGAGACTCGGCCCTTGACCGGATGTCTGACACACCATCTCCTCCTCTAGCAATATTTCTGTTTGATATATATATATATGTGTGCGTAAATTGAATGTATTGCTACGTTTCTACTTGGGTGGGAGCCATGGAGAGAATAAGAAAGTAGTGTATAAGGTTTATGTGGTGAAATATTGGAGATATATGATGGGGGAAGACGAGACTGCCTCCAGTATACTAGTACTCCTTGACAACCCTGTCTGGAGATGACGTCATTCTGCGGTGCGTTTAAAAGGCACATCTTATAGTCATCTTATTCACGGTAGGAGCCCAATTATTATCACTGCAGTGCTGAGTATTCCAAGTAGGCGCATCGCGCTCACACGTCCCAGGTATATTAAGGTTAGTGCGTGCTCTACCCGAACAATAAAGAGCTATAACGTCAATATCGTTCCAATACTATCCACTTTGTTTATCATGCATATATTAATACCAACAAACAGAAGTTTAAACAAGGCATCACAGATATTATAGAAAGTAGATATAAGGTGACCAGGTAATCATTACCAGAGATCCCGCTATTGGGGCCGCAGCACGCCCAACACCTTTTAGAAGCCTGCGTGTTGTTGGTGCGAAGCGAGCTCGCGCTTAGTTGTTATCAGGACGGCGTCGGAGGAGCACTCACGATGACGGAAGATCGTCCAGTCGAGGGAGAAATTGTCAGATGTCAGTTGTTTGAGGTGGGCCCACGCTACTTCAACCTCTCCTACATAGGCGAGGGGGCCTACGGCATGGTGGTGTAAGTATCCCAGCCGTGTGCTCGCACGCCCCGCACCGCTCTTGCTAAGAGCAAGATGGACCTGTTGGGCTCGTGGATTATTGATCAGTGTTGGGGGTCGGACGTCAAGTGAGGGAGAGAGTGAGGGAGAGAAAAGGGTGCTGAAGGGGGTGAGAGTGAGAGGGGGGGAGGGGGGAAATAGGGAGAGAAAGTGTGAAGGTAGAGGAGATAAGAGAGAGAGAGAGAGGGGGGCGGGGTGAGAGGGGGGTTGATGTGGGCAGGACTCATACCCTGCCGCTCCCAGGGTGAGGTAGTTGACCAGGACGATAGCAGGATAAGTCTGCTTGCTGTGGTGGTGGCAGGATAAGTCTGCTTGCTGTGGTGGTGGCAGGATAAGTCTGCTTGCTGTGGTGGTGGCAGGATAAGTCTGCTTGCTGTGGTGGTGGCAGGATAAGTCTGCTTGCTGTGGTGGGGGCAGGATAAACCTGCTTGCTGTGGTGGGGGGCAGGATAAGCCTGCTTGCTGTGGTGGGAGGCAGGATAAGCCTGCTTGCTGTGGTGGGGGGCAGGATAAGCCTGCTTGCTGTGGTGGGGGGGGCAGGATAAGCCTGCTTGCTGTGGTGGTGGCAGGATAAGCCTGCTTGCTGTGGTGGTGGCAGGATAAGTCTGCTTGCTGTGGTGGTGGCAGGATAAGTTTGCTTGCTGTGGTGGTGGCAGGATAAGTCTGCTTGCTGTGGTGGTGGCAGGATAAGCCTGCTTGCTGTGGTGGGGGGCAGGATAAGCCTGCATGCTGTGGTGGTGGCAGGATAAGCCTGCTTGCTGTGGTGGTGGCAGGATAAGCCTGCATGCTGTGGTGGTGGCAGGATAAGCCTGCATGCTGTGGTGGTGGCAGGATAAGCCTGCATGCTGTGGTGGTGGCAGGATAAGCCTGCATGCTGTGGTGGTGGCAGGATAAGCCTGCATGCTGTGGTGGTGGCAGGATAAGCCTGCTTGCTGTGGTGGCAGGATAAGCCTGCTTGCTGTGGTGGTGGCAGGATAAGCCTGCTTGCTGTGGTGGTGGCTGGATAAGCCTGCTTGCTGTGGTGGTGGCTGGATAAGCCTGCTTGCTGTGGTGGTGGCAGGATAAGCCTGCTTGCTGTGGTGGTGGCAGGATAAGCCTGCTTGCTGTGGTGGTGGCAGGATAAGCCTGCTTGCTGTGGTGGTGGCAGGATAAGCCTGCTTGCTGTGGTGGTGGCAGGATAAGCCTGCTTGCTGTGGTGGTGGCAGGATAAGCCTGCTTGCTGTGGTGGTGGCAGGATAAGCCTGCTTGCTGTGGTGGTGGCAGGATAAGCCTGCTTGCTGTGGTGGTGGCAGGATAAGCCTGCTTGCTGTGGTGGTGGCAGGATAAGCCTGCTTGCTTGCTGTGGTGGTGGCAGGATAAGCCTGCTTGCTGTGGTGGTGGCAGGATAAGCCTGCTTGCTGTGGTGGTGGCAGGATAAGCCTGCTTGCTGTGGTGGTGGCAGGATAAGCCTGCTTGCTGTGGTGGTGGCAGGATAAGCCTGCTTGCTGTGGTGGTGGCAGGATAAACCCTGCTTGCTGTGGTGGTGGCAGGATAAGCCTGCTTGCTGTGGTGGTGGCAGGATAAGCCTGCTTGCTGTGGTGGTGGCAGGATAAGCCTGCTTGCTGTGGTGGTGGCAGGATAAACCCTGCTTGCTGTGGTGGTGGCAGGATAAGCCTGCTTGCTGTGGTGGTGGCAGGATAAGCCTGCTTGCTGTGGTGGTGGCAGGATAAGCCTGCTTGCTGTGGTGGGGGGGGCAGGATAAACCTGCTTGCTGTGGTGGGGGGCAGGATAAGCCTGCTTGCTGTGATAGTGGCAGGATAAACCTGCTTGCTGTGGTGGTGGCAGGATAAGCCTGGTTGCTGTGGTGGTGGCAGGATAAACCCTGATTGCTGTGGTGGTGGCAGGATAAATCCTGATTGCTGTGGTGGTGGCAGGATAATTCCTGATTGCTGTGGTGGTGGCAGGATAAACCCTGATTGCTGTGGTGGTGGCAGGATAAGCCTGCTTGCTGTGGTGGCGGCATGATAAGCCTGCTTGCTGTGGTGGCGGCAGGATAATCCTGCTTGCTGTGGCGGCGGCATGATAAGCCTGCTTGCTGTGGCGGCGGCAGGATAATCCTGCTTGCTGTGGCGGCGGCAGGATGAGCCTGCTTGCTGTGGCGGCGGCAGGATAAGCCTGCTTGCTGTGGTGGTGGCAGGATAAGCCTGCTTGCTGTGGTGGGGGCAGGATAAGCCTGCTTGCTGTGGTGGGGGCAGGGTAAGCCTGCTTGCTGTGGTGGCAGCAGGATAAGCCTGCTTGCTGTGGTGGCGGCATGATAAGCCTGCTTCCTGTGGTGGTGGCAGGATAATCCTGCTTGCTGCGGTGGCGGCAGGATAAGCCTGCTTGCTGTGGTGGTGGCAGGATAATCCTGCTTGCTGCGGTGGCGGCAGGATAATCCTGCTTGCTGCGGTGGCGGCAGGATAATCCTGCTTGCTGCGGTGGCGGCAGGATAATCCTGCTTGCTGCGGTGGCGGCAGGATAATCCTGCTTGCTGCGGTGGCGGCAGGATAATCCTGCTTGCTGCGGTGGCGGCAGGATAAGCCTGCTTGCTGCGGTGGCGGCAGGATAAGCCTGCTTGCTGCGGTGGCGGCAGGATAAGCCTGCTTGCTGCGGTGGCGGCAGGATAAGCCTGCTTGCTGCGGTGGCGGCAGGATAAGCCTGCTTGCTGCGGTGGCGGCAGGATAAGCCTGCTTGCTGCGGTGGCGGCAGGATAAGCCTGCTTGCTGCGGTGGCGGCAGAATAAGCCTGCTTGCTGCGGTGGCGGCAGGATAAGCCTGCTTGCTGCGGTGGCGGCAGGATAAGCCTGCTTGCTGCGGTGGCGGCAGGATAAGCCTGCTTGCTGCGGTGGCGGCAGGATAAGCCTGCTTGCTGCGGTGGCGGCAGGATAAGCCTGCTTGCTGCGGTGGCGGCAGGATAAGCCTGCTTGCTGCGGTGGCGGCAGGATAAGCCTGCTTGCTGCGGTGGCGGCAGGATAAGCCTGCTTGCTGCGGTGGCGGCAGGATAAGCCTGCTTGCCATGATAGTGGCAGGGTAAGCCCGCTCGCCACGGCAGCGGCAGGGTAAGCCCGCTCGCCACGGCAGCGGCAGGGTAAGCTCGCTCGGCTCGGCAGCGGCAGGGTAAGCTCGCTCGGCTCGGCAGCGGCAGGGTAAGCTCGCTCGGCTCGGCAGCGGCAGGGTAAGCCCGCTCGCCATGGCAGCGGCAGGGTAAGCCCGCTCGCCACGGCAGCGGCAGGGTATGCCCGCTCGCCACGGCAGCGGCAGGGTATGCCCGCTCGCCACGGCAGCGGCAGGGTATGCCCGCTCGCCACGGCAGCGGCAGGGTATGCCCGCTCGGCTCGGCAGCGGCAGGGTAAGCCCGCTCGCCACGGCAGCGGCAGGGTAATCCCGCTCGCCAGGGCAGCGGCAGGATCAGCCTCCCATCACATTTTAATAAAATAAAATAATAAATAATGCCTTGTATATGGTATGTATATGATCAAAAAACTTTTTTTCTTATTTAGGCAGCAAATTTTTTTTTTTTCAACTACAGAGGAACTATGGTTAACAAATTTAATCAGTTCCGATCTCGTCATGTGAAACACTCGTCTTGCGAAACGAATTTCCCCATTTAAATTTTTAAATTTTTAAATTTTGCCCCGAGGGGCGAGTTTATTGGGCAGCGCCACTCATCTTGTGAGTGAACATACCGCCATAGCAGAATGTACAACACTCCCCAATAGGAAGAAAACCGGCTGGGTTGTTCATCCTGTCACTTGTACCCAGACATAGCTGGGACTTGCTTAACTGTCTCAAGTGAACAGCTCCTCAAACAAGAAGATTAACATTTATCAACCCTTAAAAGCTTACGTTATCTTGCGGGTGCAAAATGGGGAAATCTTTTAAGAACAGTATCAATATTTGACAAATAGTGTTTTCCTAACTCAAACAATGTGGGGTTTATTATTCTACAGTTATTCCTAATGTCTCTCAGGTGTTCACATTCACGTAGATAGTGGTCAAGGCGGTGTCCATCACTCTCACCACAGATTCTGCAACTTCGCTGATCAACTGTTGTTTCCATTCCAAATCTCCATGGATATTTGTATCCAAAACGGATTCTCGCTATTACAGATTCTCTCCCTCGTCGTCCTCCTCTTCGGCCATACTGATTGGGATTGCCAGCTGCAACCATGTTGTACCATCGTACAGATTCACTGGTTTGTGCTTCTATCCTCCTTTCCTCAGTTACCTTGTCACGGTGATGTTGCCTGATAATACCTCTAATTTGTAGTTGAGTCTTGGGTATGAAGTATTCAATATGGTCTCCTTCAGCGCCTTCAGCAGCCAGCACATCTGCTCGTTCATTCCCACATATTCCAACATGGGAGGGGATCCACAGAAACTTGATGACTCTTCCCTGATTGGTAAGTACTCTCACAGCTCTCTTGATTTCAGCGACTATTGCAAGATTTTCTGCCTGATTTTTACTTAGGCTTTGCAGTGCTGCTTTTGAATCGGTGCAAATCACTGCACCATTAGTGTTCCGTTCAAGAAACCTTAACGCCATAACAATGGCAGTTAGCTCTGCTTGCGTTGAAGAGGCATAGTTCTCAATACGTGCTTTTTCTTCATTTCTGCGTAGGAAGGTATTATCCTTGATTACCGTGTATGCTGCACCAGCCCTGCCATTGATAGGATTAGAGGACCCGTCAGTGTAGATTTGATCTAGTTCATCTCCGGCTTCTTTATAAATGTCCTCGAGATACTTGTGCCTCATTTCTTGTGGTATCATGTTGGATTTTTTCATTGCCATTTCATTGATGATGATCTTGCATGAGTCATCCTTCCAGGGAGGTAACCTCTCTACAGGCAGGAGCTCATGGGCTTGCTCAAGCAGGTGAAGCTCTTCAAGGTAGCAGACTGCTCTGTGATGCCATTTTTTGCTTCTCCTGTTTCCCCCTGAAA